GCCAAGTAGTCAGGAACTTCTGTGGGCAAGAGCATGTGCATGTACGTGCTTGGGAATAGCTCAATCTTAGCTCCTGCAGGCCCCAGCCTTCTTAGCAGTTTTGTGTGTGTGTAAACTTTATGGAAGCAGAAAGGGCTGGTGACACCTGGGTTCCTGGGGTTTATTTGTAAGGGGAGGGCACCAAATTGGGCTTGAGGAAGCAGTGAGCCCTAGTGACAGTCTTAAGCACAGTGATTGGCAGATAGCAAGTGAAGGAGGGGCGAGGCTGCTATCACTTCTGGTTTCTGGTGAAATTTTACTGGACTGATTCCTTGGAAACTGCTGTATCTCTTTGAGACCTTTCCATATAGGATGGCCCATGAAGCATTCCACAGGGACCTTTGGTATAATCCATCTGTCCTATGTGGGCCATCAGAATCCCCTTCTGCACCTGGGCTGGAAGAGGAGAGAAGCCCCCCAGCCTGGGGATGGGAGACCTAGGGTTCTCAGGCTCCTGAGAGGTCGAGAGGATTAACACAGTCCAGCTCTGTCTGAGCCTCAGAAATCCTGCCCTCCCTGTTAGAGGCCATGGGAAGAGCATTCTTTTTAAGCATGAAGAACTGACTGTGGGCCAGGCCTAGTGGCTCACGCCTGTAATCCCAGCACTTTAGGAGGCCAAGGTGGGCAGATCACCACCCTGACCAACATGGCGAAACCACATCTCTCCTAAAAATACAAAAATTAGCCGGGTATGGTGGTGTGCACCTGTGATCCCAGCTATTCAGGAGGCTGAGGCACAAGAATCACTTGAACCCAGGAGGCGGAGGCTGCAGTGAGCCAAGATCGTATCACTGCACTCCAGTCTGGGCAACAGAGCAAGATTCTGTCTCAAAAAAAAAAAAAAACTTTGTCATTAGCTGAGGATGGTGGCGTGTACCTGGTAGTCCCAGCTGTTTTGGAAGGCTGAGGTGGGAGGATTGCTTGAGCCCCGGTCAAGGCTGCAGGGAGCCGAGGCGACAGAGTGAGATTTGTCTCAAAAACAGCTAGCTGTGTCGACTAGAGGCAACTGTGAAACTGTCCTAAGAGGCTGGACTTCGAGAAGGTTCTTCCACAGATTGACCAGGTACTGTAGGTTTCAGTCACAGCTGGGGTCCGACACTGGCAAAACCCCACCAGCTGCCCCACAACTGGGGGCTTGCCCTGAGGTCAGGGAGTTCTCTGCTGTCCTGGTTCCTTTATGCACTAGGAAGGCAGATATACCCTGAGGAGCCCTCAAAGTCTGGCCCCAGCACCCCCACTAGGTCATTGCTGCCTTTAATCACATTCCAGATCCAAAGCCACACAGTGGCCCTGGCATTGGTCTCAGGTGTGTCCCACACCAGCAGCACATCTACAGAGGGGTCTGAGTGCAGGCTTCCTACTGAAAGCTCCCAGGGGTACCATGGAACAGCGGCTGTTGGTGGTGGACCCTGTGGAGGCTCCTGGCCTTCAGTGTCTGTCCCTTGTCTTGCAGGTGAGACTGTGGAGATGAGAAGGTGGTGGACACTCGTGATGGAATGGAAATCGTCCTACCGTGCAGCCACACCCTGCCCCGCCCCACCCCGCGTGCCTGCCCATGCCAGCACTTCCTTCCTAAGTTCTCACATCACACTCAAACCAGTGACACCACGGGAAAGAAAGACCCAAGACGTTGGAATGGCTGTTTCCATGGACACAATCTCCATAGTGACAATGTGGGGGGAGGGGGGGAGGGGTGGGATGACGGGGAAAGGGTGGGGGGAATTAAAAGGGAGGGATAAAAAATATATATATATAAATCTATTTTTAGTCTGGAAAGACTTTGTTTAAATGAAAGGTGCGCTATCCCTTTTGATTCTATTTTAAAATTATCTAGTTAAAGATCTCCAAATTTGTTCTGATGACAAGTGAAATTTAAATGTGAAATTGAACTGAACAAACCCTCATCTCATAAAGGACGGGGTGTGTGTGGCTTTGATCTTTAGCCTGTCTCACACCAGTTCAGAAAACACTAGACCCAGGATTGAAAAAGCAGAAAAACCACACCAGAACCATCCTTTTGTCATTAATTTGTCTCAAAGTGGGAAGGTTTTAGGGGGAGGGGGAAATATAGGGACGGTCCATGTTTTCAAGAGCAGGGGAATGATGTTTAAACACAAAAATATTTGTTTTTCATTTCCAGAAACACTATTTATTTATTTTTTTTTAACTTTTTCTTTTTGGGGGTGAAATTGGCAGATGCCTGAGGTCATAGCTGTGTCCTGGGTCACTGTGGCTGGTGAGGACCCTAAGTGTACACAGCAGCAGCAAAACCGAGGGATGACCCTCCTCTGGGGCCCCCTGTCCTCAGCACATTCCAGGCAGCTGTGCCCTGACCCACAGGTACCCGTGGGGATGAGAGGAGGCCCAGGCCTGTGCTGCCAGAGCCGGCAGTGTGAGCTGTAGGCAGGGACGGGGAGGGACTGTCGCTGTGATCAGAGTGGGTTAAGCTGACCAGGAACACCCATTTAGCCCCTTTTTCTTTTTGCTTTCATTTTTATAAAGGAAAAGAGGACCTGTCAGATAGGCAGCCCCATGCTACGTGATTCTTTATGTTGTGTTGTTTTGTTTTGTTTTGTAAATTGTATAATTTTTAAATATCTGAGTTTTAAAAAAAGAAAAAAGTACAAAAAAATCTTGTTATGGCCTTAAGAAGGGGTTAGTGCATCTTTCAGGGGTCACTCTGCCATGGGGATAAAATAGCTGTTTCACAAACAGTTTTATTTAAAAAAACAAAAAACAAAAAAAATCAAAAAATCAAAAAAATAATAAACTTCATTTTAACCTTGTTTCCTGCTTTTGTTTAATTTAAAGCAAATGCGTCTCTTCCTTCTCCCATTCTAACCCCCAAAGGGTAGCTCTGGTTCTCCAGAGGAGGCCATGATCAGATCCGGTCTGTCCCATTCCTAGCCTCTCGATGGCCACGCAGTTGGGAAGCAAGCAAAATTCAGGGTTCTTCCGCCACTCCTCTGGGCAGGTAGAGTGTGGCCAGTGTATGGAGACAGTCAGATTTATTCAAGTTGATATGAGGACATACTTCCAATCAACATTAAGGGTTATAAAAAAATAATGGAATGTTAATGGACTTTTTTAGAGAGTAGAAATACTGGAAGGAATGTTGTGAAGTAGAAATAAGCAATTATAAATGAGTTCTGTGTTCATCAATTTAGGGCAGCAGAAATGGCAGATTAATGGTGTTTTAATCGCTACATGAAGCAGTCCATTTCTCATTTCACTCTGCCAGGATGGAGGTGTGGGTGGGTACGTTGTGTTGGCCGTAGGACCAAGCTTGGGCAACTGAACAGGACCTGCATAGAAATGATGGCTTTTTTGAGCTAGTTGCATTCTCATTCTGGTCTTGGCATTAATACAGTTAAAATGATATATTTCAGGTGTCAAGGGCTAAACCACAAAACTTGAAAAATACGTATCTTGAGGAAAATATTTTCCTGACAGCAAATGTTTGTCATTTTGCCTTTTATTGTTTTGTCCCCTTTTGATTGGCTTGAGTGGAGTACTTGGAATTGTTCTAGGTCTTTCCTTAAATTGACTTCAGAAATGACCTTCACTGGGGAGTGGCAGTGATACGCACATGCCTCCTGACTCGCTTCTGCCTTCTGCAGTTCGCCTCAACTGCTCAAGTGCCTTTTAGTTCCTTCAGTGTTTTAATTGATTTTGTTAAAACAGTTTTATGTTCACAGCAGGATTAAGCTGAAGGCACAGAGAGTTCCCATATAACCCCTTACCCCCCCTATGCATACCTTCCCCTCTATCAACATCCCAGCCAGAGTGGCACATTTGTTACAACTGATGGATACATTGTTATCACCCAAAGTCCATAGTTCATACTAGGGGCCACTCCTGGTGTACATTTTATGGCTTTTGACATATGTGTGAAGACCCGGATCTGGCAGGGCGTGGGGCTCATGCCTATAATCCCAGCATTTTGGGAGGCTCAGGGGGGCAGATCAAGGCTTGAATTCGAGAACAGCCTGGGCAACATGGCAAAACCCCATCTCTACATAAAAATACAAAAATTAGCTGGGCGTGATGATGCACGCCTGTAGTCTCAGCTATTTGGGAGGCTGAGATGGGAGAATCGCTTGAGCCCAGGAGGTCGAGGCTACAGTGAGCCGTGATCGCGCCACCACACTCCAGCCTGGGCAACAGCAAAATCCTGTCTCAAAAAAAAAGACGTGGACCCACCATTATCCAGAGTAGTTTCACTGCCCCAGGGATCCTCTGTCCCACTGTTCATTCTTCCTTCCCCCCCGTCCCTCACTACTGAGCCTTTTTCCAAAGTTATGCCTTTTCCAAAGTGTCCTATAGTTGAGATTATATAGTAGGTAGCCTTTTTAGATTGGCTTCATCCACTTAGTAATGTGCATTTAAGGTTCAACCATGTCTTTTCATGACTTGATAGCTTGTTTCTTTTTAGTGACAAATAATTCCATTGGCTGTACCACAGTTTATCCATTCGCCTGCTGAAGAACATCTTGGTTGCTTTCAAGTTCTGACAACTAAAGATGAAGCTGCTGTAAACATCCCTTTGCTGGTTTTTGTGTGGGCATAAGGTCTCAACTCCTTTGGGTAAGTACAGGAAGCACAGTTGGTGGATTGTATGGTAAGAGTATGTCTAGTTTTGTAAAAAATTGCCAAACTGTCTGGATCACCTGAGGTCAGGAGTTTGAGACCAGCCCGGCCAACATGGTGAAACCCTGTCTCTACTAAAAATACACAAATCAGCCGGACATGGTGGTTCACACCTGCAGTCCCAGCTACTCGGGAGGCTGAGGTGGGAGGATTGCTTGAACCTAGAAGGCAGAGGTTCCAGTGAGCTGAGATCACACCACTGCACTCCTAGCCTGGGTAACAGAGTGACTGAGACTCCGTCTCAAAAAAAAAAAAAAATTGAAGAATGGAAAAGAAATTGCCAAACTGTCTTCCAAAGTGTCCGTACCATTTTGTACTCCCACCAGCAATGAATGAGAGTTCCTGATGGTCCACATCCTTGCCAGCATTTGGTGGTGTCAGTGTTCTGGATTTAAGCCATTCCAACAGGTGTGTATGTGGCCATTTATTTTTTGAATAAAAGTTTTTAAATTGTGGCTAAAAAAATTTACCATCATAATAGTTATGGTACAGTTTAGTGGTGGTAAGTGTGTTCACATTGTTGTGCAGCCAATCTTCAGAACTTTTTCATTTTATGAAACTCAAACTTTACCCATTAAACTGCCCCCCTGCAGGCCCATCCTGCCCCTGGACTTTCCATCTCTGTTTCTAGGGTACAGGCAGCCCTCAGTACCCACAGGCTCCACATCCACAAACTCAGCCACACATCGAAGATACTTCTAAAAAAAAGTATAACAACTAAAAATACAAATAAGAGCAGTACAATATAGCAACTATTTACATAGTATTTACACTGTATTAGGTATTATAAATAATCTAGAGATGATTTAAAGTATACAGGAGCATATGCATAGGTATACTATGCAATTTTACATAAGGAACTTGAGCATCCTTGGATTTCGGTATTTACCGGGGATCCAGGCACCAGTCCCCTCCAGGATACCCAGAGATAACTATTCCACTGCCCATAATCCCACCCCCTTGCAGCTGTGGAAACTCAGAGGTGCTGCTCTGAGGGCAGACCCTGCCACTCAGCACTCGGGGACGAGTCAGACCCAACAGAAACCTGTCCCATGGGAGGAGCTGGGAATTGGAGGGTCCCTCCCAGTGGCATTGCTGTGCCTGGCAGGGGGAAGGGCAAGAACAAGTAAAATGCTTAACTTTACTACCCTTCCAGTGCAGTCCCTTCCTGGCTCTGCATCAGCTGGCATTGCAGCGTCCTAACTAGTCTCTAAAATTCTCACAATGATGTTTTGGTTCCTATAGCTTTGTTAACCCTGAGCTCTCCAGGAGAATGAGCCTGGAGTTTCCTAGTCTACCACTTGCTGATGTATTTTCACACCATCTCACTTGGCAATGTCCAGAGGGCCTGCCAGGGCACAGTACACTTTTCACCGTGACACAAGCAGTCCCAGTGTTGAGGGAAGGCAGGTTGGATCTATTCCCTAAAAATAATCCCAGAAACTTCTATACTGACCATTAATAGGATGTAATGTCCAAACAGTATAGAGTAGTAGCTTAGCATACACTTTAGACATGGACTCTAACACTGCTCTGTGACTTGAACCTTGTTATGTAATCTCTGAACCTCGGTCTCTGCCTTGGGGACCATAAAACCACCTCCTTAGGGGGCTGTGGGAGGATTAATGAGCTGGAGCACATACAGTCTGACCAGCAGTTTCTGGCACATAAGTGCCCTATCAATGGAAGCCACAGGTGCACAATGATTGGAAAAGGCCATAGGCATCATTATCGAAGGTTTTCCTCATGCTGCTGTATCTTGAATTACAGGCCTCTGGCTGGTAAAGAGGACACTCGGGAGAACACTGCCTACGTTGCAGGCACGCCTGTCCCTGCCGTTCATTCCCCCATCATGATGACTGCTTGAGCGGGTGGTCTGACACCTCAAAAGGCCAAGAGTGCATACAGGTAATGTATAAAGGGCCACCAGTCCCTGCACCTTGATTCTCTCACAGTCCGAGGTAGAAGGGTGCTGCCACGTAGGACAGGAACATTCATTCAGTTGAGGCCAATTTGGGAGGCCACAAGCCAGATCTGAGAAGTCCCCAGATGGACATGGGTCTTGCTCTCTGTCAGTTGAGTGGCCTCAAAACTTCTGTTGGGCCAGGTGGCTCATGCCTCTAATCCCAACACTTTGGGAGACCAACGCAGGAGGATCACTTGAAGCCAGGAGTTCAAGACCAGAGTGGGCAACATAGAACCCATCTCAACAAAAAAATTAGCCAAGCATAATGGTGTGCACCCGTAGTTCCAGCTACTTGGGAGGCGAAAATAGGAGGATCTCTTGACTGAGCACAGGAGTTTGAGGCTGCAGTGAGCTTTGATCACACCTCTGCACTCCAGCGTGGGCAACAGAGCAAGCCCCTGTCTCTCAAAAAAACTTTTTTTTTTTTTAATTTTAAATACACTGTTCTCCCTACCTTTTGTTCCCCAGATCCAGTCTTCATCCAGACCTGAAAAGACCTAGGCTCCAGCTGCCAGCCTCCTGCTGCCCCTCAGGCCACCTGCACAGGAAATTCCAGGGGTGGCTTTTTCCCACTGCCAGTGCTGTGGCCTACGGTGCTAGGCAGCCCCTCAGTCAGCTAGACAAAGTTCTCCATGAATCCTTCACAGAAAGTCCTGTTCCAGCCTGGGGCAGAGTCCCCATGACCCTCATGGTACCGCTGGCTTCTCATGTCAGCTATGTTACCTTCCTGCTCCTCAAGGTCATGATTACGGTGGGGCATTGGTCCACTCACAGCCTTCCCACCATGCTCCCAGTACACAGCTCAGCACCCAGTACAACCCATATCGCCAGCTTGGGTGGAGCTCTCATGCCAGGTCACTTCTCACCCATTACCCTAACCTGGGTAGGCACCAAGAGCAAGCAGCAGGGTCAAGGACCTCTGGAGCAGCCCCTACCCACCCTGGCCTGACCCTGCACCCACTGGCAGCACAGTCAACACAGCAGGTTGGCTCACAGCAGAGGGCAAAGGCCATGATCAGTTTCCTTTATAAGGGAATGATCATGCACTTCATGTGCTGAGAGTGTCCTGCCTGGTCCTCTGTGGCTGGTGGGGTGGGGGAGCCAGGTGTGTCTAGAGGAGCCCAGTGGGCAGCAAGGCAGTCATGGGGCTGGATGCACTGGTGCCCCTGGCCGTGACAGTGGCCATCTTCCTGCTCCTGGTGGACCTGATGCACCGGCGCCAACGCTGGGCTGCACGCTACCCGCCAGGTCCCCTGCCACTGCCGGGGCTGGGCAACCTGTTGCATGTGGACTTCAAGAACACACCATACTGCTTCGACCAGGTGAGGGAGGAGGTCCTGGAGGGTAGCAGAGGTCCTGAGGATCCTCCACCAGCAGCAAACGTGGTGGGTAGAGCCACAGTCTGGACCAGAAGCCAGGCTGAGAAGGGGAAGCAGATTTGAGGGACTTCCTGGGGGAGGGCATTTATACATGGCATGAAAGATGAGATTTTCCAAAGGCCAAGAAAAAGTGGGGCAAGGGCCTGGAGGTGGGGCTGGACTTGGCAATGGGCGTGCAATCCCATTGGGCAGCATATGTTATGGAGTACAAAGTCCCTTCTGCTGACACCAGAAGGAAAGGCCCTGGGACTGGAAGACAAGTGAGGGTCCTATGTGCCGTTTAAATCAGGAAATCAGGCTGCGCGTGGTGCCTCACACCTGTAATCCCAGCACTTAGGGAAGCCAAGGTGGATGGATCACCTGAGGTCAGGGGTTCCAGACAAGTCTGGCCAACATGGCGAAACCCCGTCTCTATTAAACATACAAAAAATTAGTTGGGCACAGTGGTACATGCCTTTAATCCCAGCTACTCAGGAGGCTAAGGCAGAATTGCTGGAACCTAGGAGGCAGAGGTTGTAGTGAGTGGAGATTGTGCCATTGCACTGCAACCTGGGTGACAGAGCCAGACAATGTCTAAATAAATGAATAAGTAAGAAATCAACGGCTGGGCACGGTGGCTCACACCTGTAATCCCAGCATCTTGGGAGACTGAGGCGGGGGAATCACAAGGTCAGGAGTTGGAGACCAGCCTGGCCAACATGGTGAAACCTGTCTCTACTAAAAATACAAAAATTAGCCGGTTGCGGTGGCGGGCACCTGTAATCCCAGCTACTTGGGAGACTGAGGCAGGAGAATTGCTTGAACCCGGGAGGTGGAGGTTGCAGTGAGCCAAGATAGCACCATTGCACTCCAACCTGGGTGACAGAGCCAGACATGGTCCAAAGAAATGAATAAGTTAGAAATCAAGGATGAAGGGATATAGTGACCCGGTTCAAACCTTTTGCACTGTGGGTCTTCAGGCCTCACTGCTCACCAGCATGGACCATCAGCTGTAAAATGGGATGCTAACTGGGGCCTATTGGCAATTTCGGTGACTCTTGCAAAGTCATAGCTGGGTGATGCATCCAAACTGAGTTCATCGTAGAAGGTGTGACCCCCACGCCCCAGGATCAGGAGGCTGGGTCTCCTCCTTCCACCTGCTCCTGATATCACCGGGGGTCGCCCAAGGCTCACTTGGGACTAGGACCTGCAGTCTGGGGGGACCCTGGCTTGACGGAGGCCCTGACCCTCCCTCTACAGCTGCGGCGCCGCTTCGGGGATGTGTTCAGCCTGCAGCTGGCCTGGACGCCGGTGGTCGTGCTCAATGGGCTGGCGGCCGTGCGCGAGGCGCTGGTGACCTGCGGCGAGGACACTGCCGACCGCCCGCCTGTGCCCATCTACCAGGTCCTGGGCATCGGGCCGCGCTCCCAAGGCAAGCGGCGGTGGGGGACAGACACCTCGTTTCCGTGGGCCCTGAGTGGGCGGTGACCGTAGCCCAAGCTGGGCCGAGAGGGCGCGGGGTCGTGGAGTTGGGACACAGAAAAAGCCCAGAGAGTGGGTTGGGGACAGCGGACCGGGAAACCACTTCCACGGGGGAGGTGCGAGTGTGTGGGCGGGAGGAGGCGGGGCTTGTGAGTGGGTGGGGCAACTGCACAGACCTGCCAGGATCCTGGTTAAGAGCAGCCCGACCTTTCCCAACTGAAAGCCGGTGTCCCAGCTGTGCTGCGGGCTCAATATGGGCAGGGCAGGGCGGGCGGGATCTTCCCTGAGTGGAAAGGCAGTCAGGGTCGGAAGAGCCAAGGTGGGGCCAAGACCCAAGCAAGGTAGGTGAGCAAAGAGCAGGCCCAGTGCCCTGCTGGATGCAGCAAGGGACCACGGAAGACCAGGAAAACCACAGGGTTGTAGTGGGCGGTGGAGGGCGGGGCCAAGGCCTTCATGGCCACGCCCACGTGTCCATCCCGCCCCCAGGGGTGTTCCTGGCGCGCTACGGGCCCGCGTGGCGCGAGCAGAGGCGCTTCTCCGTGTCTACCTTGCGCAGCTTGGGCCTGGGCAAGAAGTCGCTGGAGCAGTGGGTGACCGAGGAGGCCGCCTGCCTCTGTGCCGCCTTCGCCGACCAAGCCGGTGGGTGATGGGCAGAGGGGCACAAGGCGGGAACTGGGAAGGTGGGGGACGGGGAAAGCGACCCCTGACCCGCATCTCCCGCCCCCAGGATGCCCCTTTCGCCCCAATGGCCTCCTGGACAAAGCGGCGAGCAACGTAATTGCCTCCCTCACCTGCGGGTGCCGCTTTGAGTACGACGACCCTCGCTTCCTCAGGCTGCTGGACCTAGCACAGGAGGGATTGAAGGAGGAGTCGGGCTTCCTGCCCCAGGTGCGGAGCGAGGGACCGCAGGGTCTCTGCAGGGCGAGCTCCTGAGAGGTGCCCGGGCTGCAGCGGGGCCTCAGAGGAGTGGGTTTGCATAGAAGGGTTTGGGAAAGGACATTCCAGGAGAGCTCACTGCTAGAGGAAGGGCCTGGAGGAGGAGGGGAAATCTCAGACACCGTGAGGGGAGAGGTATGCCTGGGTCAGGGGGCACCAAGAAAGGCCAAGGACCCTGTGCCTCCTGTCCGCATTGGAGATTTTTATTTTAGATTTCTCCTCTGGCAGCCCAAGGCAAGGAGAGAGGGTGGAGGCTGGTACTTGAGGAGGAACTTGGGGAGGTCAGTGGTGGAGACAGGCCGGCCCTGGGTCTTCCCTGGAGACAGCTGGGGCCTGAGACTGGTCCAGGTGAACGCAGAGCACAGGAGAGATTGAGACCCCGTTCTGTGTCTGGTGTAGGTGCTGAATGCCATCCCCCTCCTCCTGCGCATCCCAGCGCTGGCTGGCAAGGTCCTACGCTCCCAAAAGGCTTTCCTGACCCAGCTGGATGAGCTGCTGACCGAGCACAGGATGACCTGGGATCCAGCCCAGCCACCCCGAGACCTGACTGAGGCCTTCCTGGCAGAGATGGAGAAGGTGAGAGCGGCTGCCACGGTGGGGACCAAGGGTGGTGGGTTGAGCTCCTGGGAGGAATGAGGAGTGGCCAGGCAAAAGGTGGGGCCACTGGATTACCTGGTGAGTGGCACCTGGGCTGACAGGTGCAGAATGGGAGGACATTTGGGGGCTTTCCCACTCTGTCCCCGAGTACCCTCTCGGCCCTGCTCAGGCCAAGGGGAACCCTGAGAGCAGCTTCAATGAAGAGAACCTGCGCATGGTGGTGGCTGACCTGTTCTCTGCTGGGATGGTGACCACCTCAACCACGCTGGCCTGGGGCCTCCTGCTCATGGTCCTGCACCCGGATGTGCAGCGTGAGTCCAGCTGGGGCCAAGTGCAGGGGGCAAGGGAGAAAGGGTACAGGCGGGAGCCCCTGAGCTTAGCTGGGACACCCAAGGCTCCCAGCACAGGCTTGACCAGTCTCCTGTAAGCCTGACCTCCTCCAACACAGGAGGCAGGAGAGGGTCAGGGCTGGTCCCCTGAGTGCTGACCCATTGTGGGTTCGCATGTCTGTCCAGGCCGTGTCCAACAGGAGATCGACAACGTGATAGGGCAGGTGCGGCGACCAGAGATGCGTGACCAGGCTCGCATGCCCTACACCACTGCCGTGATTCACGAGGTGCAGCGCTTTGGGGACATTGTTCCCCTGAATATGCCCCACATGACATCCCGTGACATCGAAGTGCAGGGCTTCCTCATCCCTAAGGTAGGCCTGGAGCCCTCCTCACCCCAGCTCAGCACCAGCCCCTGGTGGTAGCCCCAGCATGGCCACTGCCAGGTGGGCCCACTCTGGGAACCCTGGCCACCCAGTCCTCAATGCCATCACATCAACTGTCCCAGCCTGGGTGTCGGGTGCAGAGTAGAGGCAGGGCTGGCCTGTCCATACAGAACCCCAGTCTAGTGGGGTAGACAGATCAGGACCTGCCAGAATATTGGAGCACCCCAGTGCCTGTAGGGAGAGGGGGCAGCGTGGGCGCCCCTGGGAGGTGTGACTGCGCCCTGCCATGGGGTCAGAGAGGGTGCCCAGGAGCTTTTCGGGTGCCGGACTAGTTGACAGAGTCCAGCTGTGTGCCAGGCAGTGTGTCCCCCCTGTGTGTTTGGTGGCAGGGGTCCCAGCATCCTAGAGCCCCGTCCCCACTCTCACCCTGCATCTCCTGCCCAGGGGACGACGCTCTTCACCAACCTGTCATCGGTGCTGAAGGATGAGGCCGTCTGGGAGAAACCCTTCCGCTTCCACCCCGAACACTTCCTGGATGCTCAGGGCCACTTTGTGAAGCCAGAGGCCTTCCTGCCTTTCTCAGCAGGTGCCTGTGGGGAGCCCGGCTCCCTGCCTGCTTCCATGGAGTCTTGCAGGGGTATTGCCTGGAAGCCAGGCTCACTGACACCCCTCCCCTCCCCTCCACACAGGCCGCCGTGCATGCCTTGGGGAGCCCCTGGCCCGTATGGAGCTCTTCCTCTTCTTCACCTGCCTGCTGCAGCGCTTCAGCTTCTCGGTGCCCGCCGGACAGCCCAGGCCCAGCCACTCTCATGTGGTCGGCTTTCTGGTGACCCCATCCCCCTACGAGCTTTGTGCTGTGCCCCGCTAGAGTTGGGCATCAAGCCCCCAACTTGCTCCTCAGCTGGGACCCTGTTGTACAGAAAATGAATCTAGTGGCTCCCACTTGGTTTCTGAATCCATTCTGGGCCACTGCCAAGGTCCTGGTTGTGTTGAGTCACCTGCCTGATGTCAGCGCTCACCCCTCACCTGTCACCTCATTCTTTTTTTTTTTTTTTTTTTTTTTGAGATGGAGTCTACTCTGTCACCCAGGCTGGAGTGCAGTGGTGCAATCTCAGCTCATTGCAACCTCCACCTCCCGAGTTCAAGCAATTCTCGTGCATCAGCTTCCCGAGTAGCTGGGATTACAGGCACCCGTTACCACCCCTGGCTAATTTTTGTCTTTTTAGTAGTGATGGGTTTCGCCATGTTGGCCAGTCTGGTTTCAAACTCCTGACTTCAGGTGACCCACCACCCTCAGCCTCCCAAAGTGCTGGGATTACAGGTGTGAGCCACCGAGACTGGCCTCACCTCATTCATTCTTATCTGGACACCTGACTTTACTTGAGATACAGGCATAGTGATTCTCAGCAGGCGACAGCCTACCCCCACGTCACGCCCAGAGACCCATCACTGGCTGCCTGGCTTGGCAACAAAGTCCAAGCATATGTCTTGGCTGGGTGGATATGAATAGGCATATGCCAGGAATCAGCCCATTCCCTGGCTAGGGTGGGAGACTGTGTTGTGGTCCCCCAGACCACCCTCAGGTTCGGTGATTTGCTAGAAGGTCTCACACACCTAGAAAAGCTGTTATCCTTCCTGTTACAGTTTATTACAGAGAAGGGTACAGATTAAAGTCAGCAAAGATGAAAGGCACAGGGGCCACAGTCCAGAATAACCAGGCTGAGGCTGCAGCTCTCTTTCCTGGTGGACTCCTACAAGCAGTGCTTAATTCTCCCCCAACAGCAAGTGACGTGGAGAGCACTGCCAGCCATGGAAGCTCACCTGAGCCTTGGTGTCCAGGGTTTTTGTTGGGACACAAAAACCCAGGCTTGAGCCCCCCAACATGGCTGACCTCAGTTACTCAGTCTCTAGCCCCTCCTGAAGTCAGATGGATACAGGCCAAGGGCCCCACCCCCGGTCACATTGTTGGCATAAACTGTGTTGTATGATCCAAGGCCCCAGCTATGTACAAAGGCACTATTTCAGGCAGGACATTCCAAGGCCTTAGCAGATATCTCCCAACAGCCTGTCAAGAGTCAGTTTGGACTCTTGGTCCAATGGTTTGCATTGTGCAAGGAATGACTTCCCCCGTTTTTACTACACAGGCCACCCCTCTTGGCTCTAACAGCAAAATGATACTAGTTTGAGCATCTCTGTGTGTGTGTGTGTGTGTGTGTTTTGTTTTTTTGTTTGTTTTATTGAGACAGGGTCTTGCTCTGTCACTGAGGCTGGAGTGCAGTGATGCCATCAGGGCTCACCGCAGCCTTCACTTCTGGGTTCAAGCAATCCTCCCATCTCAGCCTCCCTAGTAGCTAGAACTGCAGGCACATGCCACCATGCTCTGCTAATTTTTGTATTTTTTGTAGAAACGGGGTTTTCACCATGTTGGCCAGACTGGTCTCAAACTCCTGATCTCAGGTCATCTGGCTGCCTCAGCCTCCCAGAGTGCTGGGATTACAGGTGTGAGCTACTGTGCCCAGCCAAATTTCCTTCCTAATTTCTTCATTGAACCACTGGTCATTCCAGAGCATATTGTTTAATTTTCACGTGTTTGTATAGTTCCCAGAATTCCTCTTGTTGATTTCTACTTTTATTCTGTTGTGGTCAGAGAAGATGCTTGATATTATTTTAACTTTTTTAATGTTTTAAGACTTGCTTTGTGACCTAACATATGGTGTATCTCTGAGAATGATCCATGTGCTGAGGAGAAGAACAGGTATTCTGCTGACTTTGGATGAAGTGTTCTGTAAATATCTAGTAGGTCCATTTGTTCTGTAGTGCACGTTAAGTCTAATGTTTTCTTGCTGGGCTTTCATCTGGGACGTCCGGCCAATGCTGAATGTGGGGTGTTGAAGTCCCCAGCTATTATTGCATTAAGGTCTATCTCTTGAGCTCTAATAACATTTGCTTTATGTGCTCCAGTGTTGTGTGCATATATATTTACAATTGTTATATTCTGTTGCTGGATGACCTTCTTTGTCTCCTCTTGCAGTTTTTGTTTGTTTTATTTTGCTTGTGAGATGGAGTCTCACTCTGTCACCCAGGCTGGAGTGCAGTGGCACAATCTCGGCTCACTGCAAGCTCCGCCTCCCAGGTTCAAGCCATTCTCCCGCCTCAGCCTTCCAAGTAGCTGGAACTATAGGCACGCACCACCACGCCCAGCTAATTTTTTGTATTTTTAGTAGAGATGGGGTTTCACCATGTTAGCCAGGATGGTCTCAATCTCCTGACCTCGTGATCCACCCACCTCAGCCTCCCAAAGTGCTGGGATTACAGGCGTGAGCCACCATGCCCGGCCTCCTCTTACAGTTTTTGTCTTAAAATCTATTTTGTCTAAATATTGCTACTCCTGCTCTTTTTTGTTTTTCATTGGCGTGGAGTATCTTTTTCTATCCCTTTATTTTCAGTCTATGTGTATCTTTTTTTTTTTTGAGATGGAGTCTCGCTCTGTCGCCCAGGCTGGAGTACAGTGGCATCATCTCAGCTCACTGCAAGCTCCGCCTCCTTGGTTCAAGCCATTCTCCTGCCTCAGCCTCCCAAGTAGCTGGGACTACAGGTGCACACCACCATGCCCAGCTAATTTTTTGTATTTTTCATAGAGACGGGGTTTCACCGTGTTAGCCAGGATGGTCTTGATCTCCTGACCTCGTGATCTGCCCACTTCAGTCTCCCAAAGTGCTGAGATTACAGGCGTGAGCCACTGTGCCCAGCCTATGTGTATCTTTATAGGTGAAGTGTGTGTCTTCTAGGCAACAAAGCATTGGGCCTTGCTTTTTCATCCATTCAGCTACTCTGTGTCTTTGTATTGGAGAGTTTAGTCCATTTACATTCAATGTTGTTATTGCTAAGCAGGGACTTACTCCTGCTGTTTTGTTATTTGTTTTCTCACTGTTTTGTGGTTGTCTTTTTTTTTTTTTTTCCTTCTTGTCTTTTAATGAAGGCGATTTTCTTCGGTGGTATGATTTAATTTCTTGCTTTCTTGTGTGTGTGTATCCATTGTTTGTTTTTTCTTTTTGAGACACAGTCTCACATACTGTGTGCTTTTTGATTTGAGGTTGCCATGAGACTTGCAAATATTATCTTATAACTCATTATTTTAAACTGATGACAACTTAACTCTGATTGCACAAACAAACATAAAGCAAAAAAAAAAAAAAAAACTAATAAAAACTCTACACTTTAACTTCATCCCGGCGCTTTTTAACTTTTTGTTGTTTCTCTTTGTCTTTTTTTGTTTTTGAGATAAAGTCTTGCTCTGGCCGGGCGCGGTGGCTCAAGCCTGTAATCCCAGCACTTTGGGAGGCCGAGACGGGCGGATCACGAGGTCAGGAGATCGAGACCATCCTGGCTAACACGGTGAAACCCCGTCTCTACTAAAAATACAAAAAACTAGCCGGGCGAGGTGGCGGGCGCCTGTAGTCCCAGCTACTCCGGAGGCTGAGGCAGGAGAATGGCGTAAACCCGGGAGGCGGAGCTTGCAGTGAGCTGAGATCCGGCCACTGCAGTCCAGCCCGGGCTACAGAGCAAGACTCCGTCTCAAAAAAAAAAAAAAAAAAGTCTTGCTCTGTTGCCCAGCCTGGAGTGCAGTGACACGATCTCGGGTCACTTTAACCTCCACCTCCCAGGTTCAAGCGATTCTCCTGCCTCAGCCTCCTGGGTAGCAGGCACCCACCACCATGCCCGGCTAAATTTTTTGTATTTTTAATAGAGATGGGGTTTCACCATGTTGGCCAGGCTTGTCTCAAACTCTTGCCCTCAGGTGATCCACCTACCTCGGCCTCCCAAAGTGCTGGGATTACCTGCATGAGCCACTGGGTCCAGCCTCTTTATGTCTTACTGTACTGTTTATGTCTTGAAAAGTACTTATTATTTTTGATTGGTTCATCATTTAGTCTTTCTAATTAAAATAAGAGTAGTTTACACACCACAATTACAGTATTATAATACTCTGTTTTTCTGTGTGCTTACTATTACCAGTGAGTTTTGTACCTTTAGATGATTTCTTATTGGTCATTAACATCCTTTTTTTTCAGATTGAAAAACTCCCTTTAGCATTTCTTGTGGGATAGGTCTGGTGTTGATGAAATCTCGCAGCTTTTGTTTGTCTAGGAGGGTCTTTATTTCTCCTTCCTGTTGGAAGGACATTTTTGCCAGATATGCTTTTCTAGGGTAAAAGTTTTTTTTTCCTTCAGCACTTTAAATATATCATGCCACTGTCCCCTGGCCTGTAAGGTTTCCACTGGAAAGGTGACTACCCCATGTCATGTATTGGAGCTCCATTGCATGTTATTTGCTTCTTTTCTCGCTGCTTTTAGGTTCCTTTCTTTATCCTTGACCTTTGGGAGTTTAATTATCCAGATGCCTTGAGGTCATCTTCTTCTTTGGGTTAAATCTGCTTGGTGTTCTATAAACTTCTTGTACCTGAAAGTTGATATCTTTCTCTAGGTTTGGGATGTTCTCTGTTATTATCCTTTTGAATAAACTTTCTACCCCTATGTCTTTCTATTTTTTTTTTTATTTTTTTTTTTAGGTGGAGTCTCACTTTGTCACCCAGGTTGGAGTGCAGTGGTGCAATCTTGGCTTACTACAACCTCTGCCTCCTGGGTTCAAGCAGTTCCCTGCCTCAGCCTCCTGAGTAGCTGGGATTACAGAACCCTGCCATGACGCCCGGCTAATTTTCATATTTTTAGTAGAGATGGGGTTTCACCATCTTGGCCAGGCTAGTCTCAATCTCCTGACCTTGTGATCCACCCGCCTCGGCCTCCCAACATGCTGGGATTAGAGGTGTGAGCCACCACACCCGGGCCCCTCTGTCTTTCTCTACCTCCTCTTTAAGGCCAATAACTCGTAGATTTGCCCTATGCTTTAATAACTTTAATTATGATTTAGTAATAGATTTGCCCATAGATTTAAAACTCTGATGAATTCTTCAGTATGTCAGTTGCATTTTTTAACTCTAGAATTTCTTCTGGATTCTTTTTAATTATTTCAGTTACTTTGTTAAATGTATCTGATAGAATTCTGAATTCCTTCTCTGTGTTACCTTG